TGTTTCTAATAGCTTCTTGTTCCTAGTAGTAAGGCACTTGTTACTAGTAGCTTCTGGTTAAGTGTTCTACCAGAACTCATGGGCTCTTTGAGTTGTGCTTGACATCTTCGCATTACTTTCGCTTAGTTCTTCGCTGTTCCCAGGGATACCATGGGATACCTAAGAACTCTTCGAAGAACCCCTTCAAATTGAGCTCGGTCCAATTTTGAGCGCTTCATGCTACGTCCCTTACCCAGCTCACACAAAGGAGTCATTGGGTCTTCATTGGCCGCATATGAATCTCTGGAGCAGCAAAGGTGTCCCAGCCTGTGAGCATAAAGAACAAACCAATTTGTGTGGTCAAGGGCTCGATGGTGTTGGCCGTGCCTTCGAAGAACACCTCAGCTCCGTCAAAACGTCAGAGAACAGATGCCAGACCTGTTGAGTTGCAGGACTTGCCGGGTTTGCACCTGCAAGAGGGGGGCACTCAAGGCACTGGTGATCTTAGATCTACGCACCTTAACAACAAGCCCATGCAAGCCCCAGCATTTGGCTTGCGACACCCCTACATCAATCCATCCGATGGCAAATTCGAATGCGACTTGAAAGGTAGTCATGAAGTGGAGCAGAGTCTCATGCAATAACACTTCCAAGCCGCTGTGAGGTGTGCCTTGGTATTGCTCCTCATCTGCAGAAATGGCTCTCTGTCAGCTGCCATCTGTTCAGTTCCACAAACCACCCGTGTTGGACCAGTCTGCCAGCGTGCGCTACGCCGCTACGTGTCGTTGTGAAGCTCTTGCAACTTGGGAACCTGGCTCCAGTCTGATTCATACCCTTTTATACCCTTTTGATATCTTTTGATCATTTTGTTGGTGGAGTGTGGCGCACTGGCGGTGGCACTGGCATTTCTTGTGCTCTCATTGCTTTGGGCAGGCGCAGCCCAGAAAGCTGCGGTTGCGAAGCTCGAAATCGTTGCTCGCTTATGAAACTCGCTCATCGAACTCGCTTCGTGATCCTTCCCAACTTCTTAAGAAGCTACTAGGGGCTCCTGGCATCGCTACTAGGAGCAAGAAGCTACTAGGAACAAGGACGCTACTACCGACTCGACCCTCGGCGATCGACAGCCTCGCGAGGTTCCTCGTGGGAGCTGGAGGGAGGTGAAGCGAACCGCGGTGACGGTGGACGGTGGTCCTGGAGAGATGTCACATGAAGTCACCAGCTTTTTCACACCAAACAAATGTCTTTTTTGGGGGGTTGGAATATGTAAGACTCTGAGACAGTCAAGCATTCCATGCAGGTTGCATTGTCACGTAAGCTCATGTAAGCTCAGTTGAAAAGGTTTCGAGTGAGTTCCAGATCCTTCCAGCTGGTTGAACTTGTGTTTTTGCAAACTCGCCTGCAACTGCTGTGCTGAAGGCATGGCCCTGACCAGAAGCAAAGCCGCAAAAACAACTGACCCGTCAAGGCATACACAACCATAGATCCAACCGAATGCGGTTTTGTGGAAAGGGGGTTGGGTGCAATACAACTTCTTAGACAAGGTGCGCTAAAAGGCAAAGTGGACATGGGGGCTGCAAGTCTGCAAGTGGATGACTAAAAGTTGTCATGTCAGTGCCATCTTGCTGGATACTCATGGGATGTCGTGATGGTTCTCAGGAAGAAATCACTCGACTGTGGCGCAGCGACCTGTCGGGAATGCACAGCGCAAAACACTTTTGCATTGGAGTCTCTTGAGGCATTCCACAAGGAATTTGGGCAGCTTATGCGGAGCTGAGTTTGCCCCTATACGCTTACCTGAAATGCATGCATTAAACATGATTGAATCCACCAGGGCAAAAACATTGAATACACCAGTCAAAAGCCAACGACAGCAAGTTGGCGCATAGCAGCTGCCGACCTGGAAGAGTCTCCAGAGCCAATGGGGGGTGCCGACCTTGGGAAAGCTCTTTGACTCAGCTTAACTCATGCGACCGTTTTGGCACATTGGGCGATATATATATATATATACATTATATGCATGTATATATACAACACTGTATAGAGTTGAACCATGGGCAGCAAAGGTGCTTGTTGAGTTGTTGCTTGGACATGGTTGGACATACCATGACACACCTCCGCCCAACCAGTGGAGCAATCCCAAAAGCATCTACAAGCAAACCATCTAACCCGGCAACAAAGTATTGGCAGCTGGCACTTGAGCTGAGAGAAAGGCTTCTTCCGCCATGTCGCTCGGGGGAACGCCTGTGCATCACTCCAGTCCTCTCGGCGTCATATGCGCCTCTTAAGGTCGATCAAAGCTCTCCTAATTCAAATTAGATACACCTATGATACACCTTTGTTCCTAGTAGCGATGCCCTTTCTTCCTAGTAGCAAATTGGCTACTAATAGTATCTAATAGTATATGTCAGAGTCATAACTCACAACATCTCATAACTCACATGGTCATGAGCTCCTGATTTCGATTGCGGGTATGTCCTACAAGGGCAGCATGCATGAAGTTGAAAGGCTCACGATTGTTTATGGAACTCCTCGTGGCGGCTGGCTTCGACCTGGTTTTCCAGCCATCAAACACCAACACACGGCTGCAAGTGTTGCGTGTTTTTGATCCAGGGTGACTCGTTCGACGACTACAGACTACACCAAGGCCTTGCCTCGAAGGGTTGAAGATGCCTGAGAAGCTTTGGAAGTGCACATCCCTATCATATCATCCCATCCACCAGTGTGCCGCGATGCGCACCCCGGAAACCCTTTGCAAAACAGGATTGCAAAGATTTAAACTAAATATATGATTCAGAATGATATAAATATAATATATATATATTATATATAAAGATCATTCTGGCCCATTCGTCAATCCTTCAATCACTTGCCTCGACCCGCCGAGACCAAGCACTCCCTGCGCCGAGTCTTCGGAGAACGACGGTCGGTCCGATCACACCGTCTTCACTGGAGCTGAGCGGTACTGCCCCGCGGAGCGAATGCTTGTGGAAAATTCTAGAAGTTATCATGCATCAATTCAAGTGTTGATTCCACAAATTCTAAGGCAAACACGGTGTGAGCAGTCCTCTGGGTCAGTCGTATCAACCCGCGAGTGACCTTAAAAAAGGCCAAACGATATTGGCTGATGGTGCAAGGATTGGGCCTGCAGCAGGCCTGCAGCATCTGCCGAAGTCTCAGCACTGAAACGCTCGCCAGCGGCGAAACATTGCAAATGATAGCAAGCCCCATGTACAGGCTGTGTCTAGTGATGTGAAGAATGGACCACGACACAACAGGAAATCCGCTACAACGACCAAAATGACCTGTCCGGAATTGCCAGGAACTCCTGCCTTTGCCCGAACGATTGCGATTCTTGGGAACCCAATGGACCTAGGATTCTCAAACGCCCATGTGCATCACATTCGAGTTCCCCGCAGCAAATGGCTAAGTGGTGGGCTTCTCTCCGCGGTTTTGATGTCGAAGCTTCCCAAGGGCCTTGCAGGTTGCAAACTTGGAACAATGGTGTTTGGTGGACCGTTTGCAGTATGCCTGGCCAGTTTGAGTTCCAGCTAGAGTGCCTAGCAGCACAAGGTTTGTACATGTCTGTGTGCCAACAATCGCAGTAAACTGGTCTCTTCCTTGCATATAGCACCTCCATCAAAGTGAACCCGCGCCTCTCTCCCCACCAAGAATCGTCCCATGTCATCCATGCCTCACACATCATCCATGAGTCAATGAGTCCTTTAAACCTACACGCCTTTGGGCATAGCAACACAAACCCGTCCAACCCATAACCGCCTGCCAGGACTCATGGCGGTGAGCTGGGCGTCGTCTCCGTTCCTTGGCAGCCTGGATGATGGATCAAGTTGGAGTGATAATTACATATGTTTCTGGATGTTTCTGGTTATGTGCAACGAAACTAGCAAATGAATAGACATAATAGACTGAACTACATCCCCCAGTTTTACTCCTGACCTTGAGAGATGGCTCTTCAACCGCCTTTGGCGTGGTCACCTCAAGATCATCTGCAGAATTATCCAGCAGAATCACGGCCCAAAATCGCACTGGTTGCAAACTTTGCCTTCGATTGTCCTTTGAAAGGGTCTCATCTTGAATCGATCTCCGGATGTGTTGCCCAAAAGCTTCGCAACGATCTGATTCTGGGACAATAAACAGAAGCAACAGCATAAAGATCACTTCTCAACCACTTCGCCTCAAGGCTCAGGAGGGTCTTTTGGGCTGTCGCGCCCATCTGCGCGCCCATCATCACCCCCTTCTTCACACACCATCGCCGCCAGCAGCGTTGCAGGCGCTTGGCCGAGTCCTCTTCGAGGCGCCGGAGCTCCCGAAGCGAGGCGTTACGCCATTGAAAGCACGGCTGTTGAGGGTGCCAGGCAGGCGGGATGGACACCTCGACCGGCGAGGCGAAAAACATCGGAACGGATCAAGAGAAATCCGTGAAAACATGTGAATTACAAAATATATCAAGATCTATCAACTCTCGAAGTCAATCATGGTCTGAAATGGCCTGGCTCGGGATGAACTCAGGTGCCGCTGGGTTCATTGCTCTGCATCATGTATATCATGTGTACTGCTCCCATCGTGCCAGGATGACTGAGACAAAGTGCACACTGCATCCTCGTCCAAAGCCATAGAGTGTCGCCATGCTCAGGCATTCACAGCTTTCACATCTGTTGGACATGTATGCTATCTCAATCCATTTTCATAAATACCAAACCGGCAACAAAATGCACCAAAATGCGGAGTTCAAGGCAAGTGTTTCTTCTCTGCATTCTGGGGAAAAATATTTTGTTCGCGAGGTTTCCAGGTAGCCTCGGTGAAGCACACCATGTGAAGCAAACCCTTGCACTAGTAACAAGGGCATTACTACTAGGTACTACTAGTAACAAGGGCATTACTATATACTAGCATCCTTGTAGTGGCGATGCACTTTTTACTATATGAAGCAAACCCTTGCTATCATCCAAAGTAGATTTTCTCCAGGCATTCAAGTGCCCAGTCTGCTCCAGAAATCTGCGTCGCACATATTCGCATCTTGGCATCTTGGTGGTAGATCACATGCAATGAGCAGGTAAACACATTAATTAATGATTGCAATCCTAGACTCTGATCGAATCTAAAACTTTAATATCTTTGACTCTTTGACCTTGCTGAATCTTGGAAATCACTTTTCAACTTGCCTAAACCATGAGCCCGTCTTCTGGACTACCGTCTCTTGCGCTGTCCAGCGATCCTAGCTCGAATGAGCCTCATTAGCTCATGAACTCACTCTGAAAATGGTGACCTGATTGCAAATGATGCACCACGGTACCACTACCTACTCTGCTCCTGCTCTTGTGATGTTCAATCATTTTTGGCTCCTCTGTGTCGTGCTGATGCTTACTCCAAGGCCAGCGCCCCTTCATCTGCTGCTTCAAGGCCCATGTCATTTGCGATCCCTTCTGCCATGGCTGCAGCTCCGGTGACACCATACAAAGCCTCCATGCAAACCGTGATGGTTTGAGCGCGCAGATCCTGTTGCAGATTTTGTGCGACATGACCCATACTGTTTCATGGACACCCCGAGTGCTTGAAACAAGTTATATAAAGCTTGTCTAGACATGTCACATGATGTCACATATGCCAAAGCATTGCACATCGTCAACGGCATGGTCTTTCATTGGAGGTTGCACACCAACCGGCGACTTGCTGAGGTGTTCCTGTTTCGTAGCAGCCCAGTCGCAATGAGCAGTTGACAACCGTTTCAGCATGTTTCAGTCACACTCAACAAGTGTGTTCAACGATGAACAACAAGGGATACCGCCGAACTGGTCTATATAATTACTGAGTCTGATTCAAACTATGAAACTTTATAAAACTAAACGGCAGGTGGCCCGAGAGCGAGAGAAAGCGGGTGTAGATGTCTCACAGATTCTTGAAGCATCTTAAAGCTGTAGTGTCAAGTGTCTCATGTTGGTGCTGAAAGAAGTTCAGGACATCAAACCTGTGGCATAGTTTCTGGTGATGTGATGTGGTAGAGTGATGATGGAGCTTGTCCAGTTCACGTTGAACAATGGCCGGAAGAATTCATGCGAGGAGCGTGAGCCGGATCTTTGCCTCCAGGGTACGGCCAACTTCCTTCTGGCATGAGCCCATTGGACACTTTGGTAAAGTGGTCAAGAAACGAAAGAAGGCAGTGGTCGTTCTTTGTGGCAAGGTCACTATATAATTGGAACGCAAAAAGTCTTCACTTGGCTGAAACAATTTCGGACTGAAGCTTGCATGTTAGTTGAGACGCACTTGAGGAGGGATTCCTTGTGCACAGTGATGCAGCTTCACCGCAGCGCTCAGGGTGGCTGAGACTGGCTCCGGGTGGCACCTCTGGAGGCTGGCTTGTCTGTGAGGGATGGTGAAGCCTCCGTCTGCTTAGCCACGACAGATAGCATTTCCATGGGTCATGGATTCATTGCCGATTATCCCTTGGTATATAGAGAAAAACAGTTGGGAGCTGGTTGTCGGACATGAGTGTTGAGTTGAAGACTGGGGAAGACCACACCTCTGGTACCAATGGGAAGGTCCTAGCAGAGTTAGCGGTCATGTTAAAAGATCTTCGAACGTTGAGCCCTCGATGTAGCATGGACACCAGCTTTTGAAGGTCGTGCAGGCCGAAGTCCCACTGGGGAGGCCACGATATTGTCTGGCAGTGAACTTGACTATGCTCATTTCAAAGGACTTGGCGCCCTTTGCCTGGATGCCACATGGCTAGGAGATTGAACAAAATGCACCGCACCTTCAATTGGCACAGGTGAACACGCATGCACCATTTCCTCGATTAGCTGCTCGGGAACCAGTACCTTGGATGGGTAGGCCTCTTGGGCAAAGGAAGTTGGACTTGGCTGCCTTCTGTCATCAAGCTGAATTGTACTCACTTCAAGGACTTGACAATCCTGGGGTTGGCCGTGGATGGTACTTGGTCATGGATTGTAAGCCACTCCCACGCTCGAGTACCCTCGGCCCATGGAGGAAAGGAGATTTGGCCGGGTGGACCCAGCTATGCACCCTCTTGCAGCACATTTGTGCGAAAGGATGTCTCATGCCCAATGCTGGAAGGCTCCTGCAAGCCGCCAAGCAAGCAAATGTGCTGTATAGGTGGCATTTCCAGGCGGGTGAGGGTCAGCAGTTTGCTCACAAGATGCCAGCAATCCCACATGGTGAAGCAGCACTGGTGGCCTGTGAACTCCTCCCTCAAGCTAAAAGCATGCAGGATCGTGTCAAGAAGATTTGCCTTGGATGGTGTCTGAAGGTTATGCCGCGTGGCTGACACAGGCTAAAGAGGGAGGGCTGAAAGAATCGTATAAGACACTGCACAACCGGCCATTTCGTGATGTTCCTCTAGAACAGCGACAGGCACTGCGGCAGGCTCTTCGTGAAAAACCATAGCATCAGAAGTGGAGGCAGGAAGGTCAATATCAAACAAGGCAATGGGCTGATTTGGATCCAGCGCAGGATTGGAAGCTGTTCAGGCGCCTTCCACAAGAGGCCCTGATGGTGTGAGCATGTGTGAGCTACTGCAATGATCAAGAACTAGGCTTTTGAAGCCGTACCATGGATGGAGGCCATCGCTAGTAGGTTGGAGGCCACCGCTAGCAGGTCGGAGGCCATCCCTCGCTAGTTGGAGGCCATCACTAGTAGGCTGGAGGCCATCGCTACTAATTGGAGGCCGTCGCTACTAGGTTGGAGGCCGTCGCTACTAAGTTGGAGGCCATCGCTAGTAGGTTGGAGGCCAAAGCTAGTAGGTTGGAGGCCATCGCTAGTAGTTTGGAGGCCATCGCTAGTAGTAGGTTGGAGGCCATTGCTACTAGGTTGGAGCCATCGCTAGTAGGTTGGAGGCCATCGCTAGTAGGTTGAAGGCCATCGTTAGTATGTTGGAGGCCATAGCTACTAGTTCGGAGGCCATCGCTAGTAGGTTAGGGTTGCGAATATATTTCTGGATGTTTTTTTTGTTTTTCGTGTTTCGTGGCAGGTGCAGTACTTTGTGGACCTTGCAAAGCACATTTCGTGGCAGGCAGGACTTTGTGGGCCTTGGAGTGCAGAGTTTGTGGCAGGCGCAGGACTTTTTGTGGGCCTTGAAGTGCAGATTTCGTGGCAGGTGTAGTACTTTGTGGCCCTTGGAGTGCAGATTTTGTGGCAGGCGCAGGACTTTGTGGACCTTGAA